GTGGGGAAATCCCCTTTGTGATAAAAATGGCATTTTCCACTGAATTTTTGGACGCGAGAGCAAAAAAAGGTGTTATCAATTTGGAAAATTTTTGAATTCTTCCTCTCCAAAATGAAAAATTTTGGGCTGCATTGACCAAAAAAAAAAGGGAATAAAAGCTCATCACTATCAAAAATTTTGGACCCTCCTGCTTAGGATCTGCCCCTAATTTCAAATTAGTAGAAAGTCACAAAACCTATTAGACAATGCAAAATAATTTTGTTTGTTTTATAATATCTGATAAAAAAACTTTACGTTTGAATTTAATTTTTATAAAATAAAATTTTATTTTTATTTCATCAATATTAATTCAGGTTTATTTCAGTCGAAAATAGGGAATTTTTTTTTAATGAAATAATTTTTACTGCTTCTTGTTTTAAAAATTCTCATCGAATTTTTAAATAGAAAGACTTTTATATTACCTGACTGAGACGACTAATTTGATCAGGAAACCCTTTGGTAGAAAAATTCCAATCCAGTAATTTGGTGAAAATGGTCGAAACCCCGCTTTCGCTCAATATTTTTGAGCAAGTGATATGAACGTGGTGGAGGAAACGGGGTGAAATAGAAGCTTTATTGCATTTAGTAGATATAGAACCTACAAATTGCTGTAAAAAAAAGTTACATTTCACGAAATGATTAAATTAATTTTTCATGATAGCCAAATGTAAAATCAAAATCCATACAAAATCAATTATGTCAATTCTGTTCGATTCTTCCAGATCATACCAGTACTGATTTTCTAGCAGTTCTCTCATCAGCTCTACGGTGCTTGGGACTGTGTTATTCGAAGATACTTCCAAATCGTCGAAAGCGAGGATGAGTTTTTTGCCCATCGCTGGACCATATACTCCTTTTCGACGTCTGTGTGATAAAATTGTGTAAGTTCGTAGGTAATGGAAGGGCTTGGAAGCCAAGAGATATGAGTGACATGACACTTGAAAATAAAATTTAGAAGTAGGTACCTAAAAGTAGAAAGTATCTGTAGGCCTAAATTTGTTTTCATGCATCTTTTTTGAAAATGTCACTTACACCTCTTGGCTTGTAAGTACCTCAAAAGCCCAGTTCAACTTCATTTTCTTAACACGTCTTAAAAATAAAAATAAAACTTACATGTTTGTAAACTCGCTTTTTTAATCTTTCGTGTTCTTGTTTTTATTGGATAATGGATATCACTTTTATTTAATTGAATTTTCTTGCACTTTGCGAAAAAATGAAGTGTTTTCTAATAAAGCAATAATATTGGGTATTCTTTATACCTGTCAATTTTTGACATGATTTTGCTTTGAACTCGATTTGCAGATGTACTATTGGTAACATGAATCATGTTGATGATGAAGCTATCTGCTGATAATTTCGAAAGATTGTGTGTAAGAAGTGCAGTTTTTCCAGCGTTTGGTGGACCAATGATTAACGATGATTTTTGGTTTTGTTGATAAAGTCTCAAGAAATAATTCTGATATGTATTATCAGAAGTGTGTACGTAAACATCTTGCATCTGTAAGTATATTATCCAGGTTTTGATAGGGTACAAATTGTGTGGGAAAAATTGAAAAATTGAATTCCAGAATCAGCTTAGTATGAGAGTTTTTGAATCAGATTATTCAATTAAGAAATGTTAAATCCGCATGGAGCCTAAAAAATTCCCTGTCTTTAATGTTATAGTTGCTTAGGCCTACTTACGGTTGCAGCTGGTGGAAGATCGCTGTCAGCCACACTTATCCAAGGACACCATACTTCTGGATTCTCTTTTCTGCAAACCCAGTCGAATATCGAGTTTTTTTCAGGAAATTGCAAATGCTTAGTTGTTTTCAGTTTTTCAGGAACTGGATATAGTTCATTTTGACCATTAACTAATTTTCGATAAAAAGAGTCGAATAATAGCTTTGAAGTTTCTGAAATCATTTTAAATTGATTAATTACAGTTCCTTCTTGAAGCCTTATGATTTTATTTTGCACCTTTTCAAACGGAAGCCTTAATTTTTTGCTCACCATAAAAGAGCATTTTCTTTATCATGCACACTTTTAGAAAGCAATGCATATTTTTTAATACTTTGGACGACTGATTTCCACTGTTTTAGTCAGAATTTGTTAAAGAAGTAACCACTCTGTTCACACAATGTTGAATGAATAGCTCTTTTTGTTCTTCAATTTTTTAAAAGCAACATCAAGTATGTAGTCGAATTTTGACTTTTCATTTCATTTACTTTGGCATAGTAATCCCTCGCATTTTTGCCTTTTAGGCTTGTAAGCAAAATCTGTTCATTGTAATGAAAAATATTCATTTTCATTTAATTTTCTGCCAATACTTGACTGGCTGTAAGGAATTATGGGGAAAATGCTCAATTTTCCTTTCTAAAATATTTTTTGGAAAAGTACCTGTCATTGAAGCACCAAATCCCCAAATCACTGAAAAGGAAAGAACTGGCTGAAGCCATAGATTACTAACTCCAGGTTCTCCGTTGTCATTTCCTAACATGAGAGTGATTATTCGAACAAAACTCTGAAATTTTGAAAAAAAATATCAGGACCAACACAATCTTTACTCAGAAAAATGATCATCATTATACTTATTTGCCTGAAAATCGAAAACCTGGACAGTTTTTTGAATCCTATGTCCCTGACAAAATTGACACGTATTTGTATTTTTAAAAATTCATTACGAATAAATATGACTATTAGCAAAGGTTTTTAAATAGGTAAATCAACAAAATAAAATTTCTAGAAATGAAAAGCTCCTCTCAGTTTTCTTTTGTTTTGTGAGATTCCATTCTTAATTTTCGAAAAATCGACTTTTAGTTTACCCAGAATAAATAGTTGTAGGTAAGATCCAAAATAAATTCGGCATTTTCATCCATAAAATTCAGAATTGCTGGAATAATCCACTCCAAAATTGTTTCAATCGTTTCGATTTGATCTGGAAGAAGTTTTTTGCTAAGATCTTTTATAAAACTTTTGCAAAGAGAATGCCAACCGACGTTTTCCACTTCGAATGAAACAATGGAACAACAAGAAAACACAGAAGGTGAAATGAAATCTAAAGAATCCGTTTCGAATATAAAGTTCATCTCATTTTTCATCTGAAAAAAATATAAAAATTTGAATTTTCTTTTGAATGGTGAATTTTTCTTTGGCGAATTGAACATTTTAGAATTACAGGGATTATTTCTCCTGACATGAGGCACAGTTTTTTTCTCATCATCCAGAGCTGTTATCAAATTTTCTGTCCAACTTTGGTCCATTAAGCCGTCCAGTATTATCCATTTTTTTGTGTGATCGGAACTGTTGGCATACTCACGATAAATTCGAGATAATATTCCTGAAATTTATTATAATTTTCAATATTGTTAGGTTTATCTGCTGAACAATATCCCCATTAAAATTTAGGGTGAAAATTTTCTTCCGAATTATAAAATAATTTCCCAGATTTTCATTTTTAGTCATATTGAATTACCATCTATCCACTCTCCACTTTCCAAGTCCAGCTGTCCATATAATTGCTCTAGGGTTATTGATTTTGGATTAATAACAGAAAATTTTTACACCATTATTGGTGGACTGATTTTTAAATACTTCAATGAGAGTCTGTAAAATTTTAAGATCAACTTAATTATGTGGAGTCTTGTAAGAGAAATTAAGAAGGATATTTTTTCGACTCACTTGATATGCTCTTGTTTTACCAGAGAATGATTTTCCTAAAATTATAACATTTTGATGCAGATAAAGTCTCTCGTAGAGTTCAATTAATTTGTTGACATATGCATCAGCTGGTGTCAAATTATTTTGTTGCAAAATTGTTCTAATCCTCTCTTCAACACCAGATAGATAATTGCAGTTGGCTTTTCAGATTCTTCGAAAACATTTTCCACAACGTTTTTAATTATTTTCAAATCCTTCAAAAATTAAAAATGAAATTATTATGTATCGTACAAGTCTATGAATGATGTCTACGAAAATTCTCTCATACCTATCTCTAATTTAACTAGATTATTCAAATAAGTGCACTATGACTCAAATTTTGAATTATTTACTTACCTCATCATTAAATTTGGAGCAATAGACAAGTTTTAAGGCTTTTCTAACAATTTCGTCTTCGTCGGTTTCATCTGAGCTAAATTTCATCATTTTTATGAATTCCAAAACCTTCTTTCCAGTTCGTAGCTCAGATTTATAATAGGCTTTGAATCTCAGAAGCTCATTACATAGAGAATGCACCTGCCAAATTTTTTCTGCTTGCCTATGAAAACCAAATTATGTACGTTCATCAGTTTATGATGGAAATAATTTCATTTCAATTGGTACCGTAAAGTGGGGTGAGAATGTACACGTGGGGTGAGAATGTACACCATCATTTTTCAGGCCTGCTTTTAGGCTATTACATGATACAAGTCATATTACATCATAGTCTGATGTAATATACATCAGACTATCATACTATGATGTAGTATGACTTGTATCATGTAATAGCCTAAAAGTAGGCCTGAAAAATGATAGTGTACATTCTCACCCCACGTGTACATTCTCACGCCACTTTACGGTACCAATATTGGTCTCTCAAAAATTATTACTACATTGCCAGACTTTTGCTGGTCGAATACCTGGATGGTTCCTTGAATCCAAATGAATATAAATATTTTTCAACAATCGAAAAGAAGTCTGGCTCTGATGTTGTGATTGGTCGGAAGAGGAGCCTCATATTATTAGGCAAGGTGTGAAAACTCCTTTTCGAGTACAAAAATAAATAAATTCATTAAAAATCAGTACGATCGAAAAAATTGAAGCAGATATTTTAAAACCTACTTATTGGACGCAGT